AAAAATTTAAAAATAAAGAGAAATCTCTAGGGATAAAGCCTGGAAATTGGCATTTTCAGAGAACACCATAGTTATTCTGCCCCCTGGAAAGTCAAGTAAAGTGAGAAAGAACAGAAATAAATGGGTGAAAAAAAAAATGTACATTCTTTAGTTTTCCTCTCCTGGGCTTTGGCACTTTATATGTCAGAAGTGTGGTGGAGCTGCCTTCTGAAAAGCAAGGCGCCTTACTGATGGGCAGATGCTGTTGCTCTCTAAAGGTGTGGCAGTTGGGTTCTTCCTCACCAAACTTCACTCTGGAGGGACATGAGAAAGGCGTGAATTGCATCGATTACTACAGTGGTGGCGACAAACCATACCTCATTTCAGGTGCAGATGACCGTCTTGTTAAAATATGGGACTATCAGGTACAGTTTTTTCATAATGTTACTTTGTCATATGTTAGACATGGATTTCACTGTTTCTTACAGGACAGTTAAAACTTGGGTTATTGAACTCTGTTCAAAGCATAATAACTTAAGGCTTCAATATTTGCCTCTAAATAGTAGTCCCAGAGTTCTCCATAAAAATGAAAACAAATGCTTATCAAGATTTTAAAATAAAACGCCATTATGTTTATTTTTCACTCAATAGTAGAAATTAGAAATTTAAACATTTTGACTAAAATGAAGTATTACACCGTCTAGTATTCTCACTGGTAGACTTCTGTCTATATTTGAAAATTAGCAGATAAATGAATAATATCATGACACAGCCATGGTACAGACATTTTGCCACATAGGTTTTGTAAACCTAGTTATGACTTCTTGTTACTATGCTTTTTCTCTCTCAGAGACAGATTGAGTTTCTGTTTTCTGTTTCTCACATCAGAATTTCCATAAACAGTTAATAAAATGAGGCCTAGAAAACCAGTGTTACTTAGAGGCTTATTCAAATTTGTGTTTAAGTACAGAATAAAATTATTAAAGATACTATCTTAGAAGTTTGGGAGAGAAAATATTCATATGAAAACCAGATCTTTTGAGGTGTGTGTGTTTTCTTCTTTAAATGTGATAGTTACAATTACATTTCCCTATATTATTAAAGAATTAGAGAAAATATGCAGATAAGATCATTGTGTTTCAAAAATTTCTGTATCGAAAATTATTTAGTTGCAATAATCACTCTCATTTATAATGTATCTGTGCACTGGAAAAATTAAGGATGAGTTACTTGTTTTTCACTAAAAAAATATATATATACTTTCTGTGTCTTGATTACAGAATAAAACATGTGTACAGACACTGGAGGGACATGCCCAAAATGTGTCTTGTGCCAGTTTTCATCCTGAGTTGCCAATCATCATCACAGGTTCAGAAGATGGTAAGTTCGAAATGTATGTTTATTCCTGTGCTTGTAATTACTAAGTGGATATTTAAGCCAGGTAGTGCCCTCCATTGTAATTGGAGATTTCTGAGAATTTTGCTCTTTTTATTAGAGTAGAATACTTGAGCTGTAAGAGAGCGAAGGGGCATTGTTATCTTCATCATCATCATCATCCTAATGTGTTTTGACTATTAAATAAGAGGACACCCAGAAGTCCTAGAGAAAAACTGTGAAAAAGCCTGTCGGTGCTTTGGAGTCTAAAAACCTGGGGTCATATTCACGTGCTTCCACTTCATGCATATGTGGTTTAGGCAGATTATGAAATGGGAACAGACATATCCACCTCATAGGATTATAGTGAAAAGAAAAGATCGTGGGTAAAGCATCTGCAGGTACCTAGTAGGTGCTGTGCTGAGGAAATTCATTATTTTACATGGAAAATCACATTTCTTAGTTTCTTATAGTTTTCTATTAATTTATTTATGTTGCTTTATAAAATCACCTATAGATCAAAAAATTAAGCTGCCAGGAAGCTAATAAAAAAAGACTTCCCTATGGCCGGTTCACCTGACACAGTTCATTGTTAGATGTTCAAATTAAAAGGGAGTGTTCACATTGTTCTTTTTAGGAACCGTGCGTATTTGGCATTCAAGCACATACCGCCTTGAGAGCACGTTGAATTATGGAATGGAGAGGGTGTGGTGTGTGGCCAGTCTGCGAGGGTCCAACAATGTCGCTTTGGGCTACGACGAAGGGAGCATCATTGTTAAGGTAATCTCTAATTATACTCTCTGAATAAATGAACATAGTGGAAGCAGTTTTCCTTGTATCTTGGTACAGTCATCTTCTAAGTCGCCAATTTTATTACACTGGCTCTTCTTTCATTAAGCACAAGAGATTAAGCACTAGAGATTTAAAGTGGAAGAAAGGAGCCTTCTGTTAAATGAAAATAGAAAATGTTTATTTTGCAGTTTTGTTTTCTTTTATTGCTAAAAGCCATTTGTCATTCTTCCAGCTTGGTCGGGAGGAACCTGCCATGTCCATGGATGCCAATGGAAAGATAATTTGGGCCAAGCATTCAGAAGTCCAGCAAGCCAACCTGAAAGCAATGGGAGATGCTGAAATTAAAGATGGAGAAAGACTGCCACTAGCCGTCAAGGATATGGGCAGTTGTGAAATATACCCCCAGACTATTCAGCACAATCCTAACGGGCGGTAAGCCAACACCAGAATCTCTCCTGAGCTTCTGTGTATGTTAGAGCAGGGTTTGCATATCCACAGTGTATACCACTTTTATTCTGTGGTGGGCTTCCCTCATGAGCTTTTGCCCTGGAATCCTCAACACAGCTGCAGGCAGCATGCCAGTTGATCGAGTTGGCATGCAAGGTGAAAGCATATTTGCCTTTCTGGTTTTGTCCCACCACACAATTTTGAACAGTTAAATAGTTTTGTATTTATTCATTTTAAATGTACTGGGTTTGTGTTCTCCTTTGAGGGCAGGTATCATATCTTACCCTGAGACTCAGTAGGTGCTCTAAATACTTGCTAACTTAAGACGAAAAGGTGACTCTGAAGTAAGTAAATGTCCTTTGAGAAAACTGGGAGATTGGTAATAATTCTGCTTCTTATTTGTAATTTGAACCATCATTTTTGTTTCTTAAGATTTAGAAAGCACCAAACATCTTGAGTTTCAAGCATGAGTTTAAACCCGTGCACCTTTAAAAGTTACTTTACAGTAGATGTGGGCATCTTATAATTCTGTGCTGAGTATTGAAAAAGACAAGCTGTGTAAACCAAATGTACTACTTGTTCAGTAAATGATATCCATAGTTACTTGTAATATAATTTTCTTAGGAAGATTAAGAATGCATTATATATTTTTTCACTTAATGTCATAAAACATTTTTTTTGCTGCAAGTTTTGCATTTTACCATTGGCAATCTAATAGCAGCCAATACAATATATAAAAAATTAAAGATTTTAATTATCAGAGAGAGAGAGCACAAGCAGGGGGAGAGGCAGGCAGAGGGAGAGGGAGAAGCAGGCTCCCCTCTGAGCAGGGAGCCCAATGCAGGACCCCAGGACCCTGGATCATGACCTGAGCCGAAGGCAGACACTTAACTGACTGAGCCACCAGGCACCCCAAAGCAGCACCCTCTTATGGTGTAAATGTAATGAGCAAAGTGCTAGGCATCTTGGTGCTCAACAAATACCAGTCAAGGGGTGCCTGGGTGGCACAGTCAGTTAAGTGTCTGACTCTTGATTTTGACTCAGGTCATGATCTCAGGGTTATGAGACTGAGCCCCACATCGGGCTCCACGCTAGGTGTGGAGTCTGCTTAAAATTCTCTCTCTGCCCCTCCCCCTTAAAAATCAGTTGGATTATTAGAATCTTTTTTTTTTTTTTTTAGATTTTTTATTTATTTTCTGACAGAGAGAGACACAGTGAGAGAGGGAACACAAGCAGGGGGAGTGGGAGAGGGAGAAGCAGGCTTCCC